TCTTATTTTTTCTATATATATACTACACTTTATTCTTGACAATAAAATAAGTGTTTAAGTATGACCTCGATTGTAGGCGATGAAGAATTCAAACTGAAGTTTTCGTTTTTTCTTACTCTGTATATATATGTGTTGATTGAAAAACACTTTCTAGTACCGACTACACTGTGTGGTGGTGTCAACTTTCTCTATGAAATAAAATACTGATTAGAAAATGGGATACGTATGTTGTCCCAGTATTTCTGGACTATAAGTCGGGTCAGTTACACAACATGCCTTGTCATTCTCTTTTATATGTACGTCCCGTCAACATGGAGATATTATTTGTAGACAAATATTGGAAGAGGTTATGTAATTAATACATTAGGAGTATATGTCTGTCCTTTGTTATATTTTCTGTCAACCGATAATTGTAATGTAGACGATTGATGATGGATAAGAATGCGATTGAATTTGAATAATATTCTAATTATAGAATAACTCATTTTTACATCAAATGATTATTTTATGACTTGTATTTCAAAGCAATTCATTGACATATACATGAGAAGCAAAACTAGGCCTAAATCAGATTTGAAATTTTGTACCGAGTTTATATACATGTAGAAAATATTATGCTGCAATAACGGTGTAATTATAAATGTTCACATCAGTTTTATTTCTAAAATGCCTTTTTTAAAAGAAGATAAACAAGTTTTAAATAAAAGAATTTGGTGAACATAACCTGAAGAAGACATTGTCCAGGCTTTTGATTGAATTTCTTATGAAATACATCAGTTGAGAAGAAAAATATCAGGAAAAGAAATAGATCACTTTATATAACAGAAAATTTTAATTGTACCAGGGATTCGTAAAAAGTTGAACCTTGTGAATGACTCCGATTGCAAACTTTTGAACAGCTATAAGCATAAAACTTTATGAATATGTGTAACTAATGTTAATTTAAATGATTGGTATCAAGAAGGAAGAGTTGTCCAAAAAGTTCTATTTCATTTACTTGTATGCATTTCAATAACTGGACAAAATGTCACAACATATGTATGCAATGTTGATCTTGGCAAATAAGTTACTGTTACGATGATGGCAATTTATTATCTAAAATCTTGTCTGTTAGGAAGCTGTCCTGTAAAATATGTAACAGGTCTTCAAAAAAATCTGTATTTCTCTTTGGATTTAGTAGGAAATTTACGGTAATGGAATTTGTTAAGTTGCACACTTCATAAACAGGACAATAATCTAAAATAAAATAAAACAGCAATCCAGATTTTATTTAAATTTCAAGTTAATGCAATAAAATAGAAAAAAAAGGTCATAAAATTCTCTTAATTATGGAGTTAATTAAATAGTCAATGTAGTCGCACATGTATGAATTATAATATATACATATGTTAAGATATATTAAATAAAAGGTATTTCAAATGCACATTATGGTAACTACGGTAATAAAAGGAAATTTATGAACCATACATATTTATGAAAATTAATCTGTTTAAATGTGATATTAACTCATTCACCCCTGACATTTCATAATGAAAATATTCAAACCTTTGATCTGCACCAGTTCAAATGTGTCTTCAGGGGTGAATGTTTTAAATACAAATTTCACACTTTAATATGTAATGTTAAACGATAAATGGAGGAATGAATGAATGAAATATTGAAATATGTATTATTTAAAATGATTGTCATTGATGATACAATATAAGTTAATTAAATATTTTATTGTCATGCAAACAGTCAATGTCATGCATACAAGAATGTAGATAACAAATCTTGCCATATCATGGTCACCAAAATCACAAGACAGACATGAAAATCCAGACATTGTTATAGTTCTGAATTTATTATAGGTCACAAAATTTTGATCCCTGTCTGCAAACTGGATCTGGAACAAAAATAAACTAAAACTGTTTACACATCAGTGGACAAGCATTTTGTTGGTGACAACATACATGTCAGAATAATTCAGACTAGTATGCCACCAGCTCATGAAATCCAACACTTAAAAAAAATAGAATGATATAGCTATATTGCTTGCAGAACGTATCTCAAGTTAGTAAAAGCATAACTGATCTTCAGATTTTTTTTCTGTTGTCTCCCCCAGTGGTATTGGAGGGAACGTTTGCCAGAGTAAGTACGGTAATGGCTGCCCAGCAAAACTGGGTTCACCACTCGGGAGTGCTTTTTTTAGGGTAAATGGTGTATTATATATAGGTAAAAGCTTGTACAGGAAGTTAGTATAAAGGCATGGTGGCCACCAAGTAATGACAATTTTGTATGAACCCAGATAAAAAATCGTACAGGTCTCCTTTGTCTAATTCATTATAATCCTGGAGTAGCGGCCATTTTGGATTTCCACAACACAATCAAAATCACAAACAAAACTACTTTATTAGTTCACTCAAAGGTTGACAAATCCCGGTTCTTTATTTGTGTTAAAGATATATTCCGCAGAGAGAAATTAATATCCAAACTAAAAATCCGGTAAGTGGGAAACGGTTTTGTGATAAAATTGTTTAGTCCTTTGTAGGGCTTACAAACCCCGGTAAGTTTCTGTGGTGCTGACTAAAGTCTAAAACAATCTAATGTGGATTAGTTAACCAATTCCAATATGATGTAAAAATTTCCATTGAAGGAGAGTCATTTTATTGTAAGTAAGCTTTTCCATCTTTGTGTGCCTGGTGGATTTCTGTCAGTTTTCTTTCTCCAGCTCTCAGTCCCTAGATCCAGATTTCTCAGAGCTCAGGCTGTCGGCAGCTATTGAGCTGGGCAGGTCACCTGAGCATGAATCATCAGGGCGAGTCAACTGCTGCTAAACCCATAGGGGGGCTTGTAGCTTTTCTGCAGGAATTTGTATAGGCTAGCCAGGAAACAACCCCAGCTGTACAAATGGACTGAACCAGTTGCTGGCGATGTGCCAAGTCAGCATTGGCTGGGTTTTGTGTGGGTTGCCCTTGGTCTATATACACCACTATAGCAGTAATGCTGATATCTGCCTCCAGCTCTGCAAAACAAAATTAATTACTTGGCAGCCGGCCAAGTTATTTGTGGACTAGGGGATCTTTTGTGTTGCAGGTCTACAGTGTACATTGTGTATGGGGCTAGCATTTGTATAGAGGAGCTAAAGGCTGGCTTAGCTAAATGCTGTGTTCTTGGCGATGTGCCATGACCTGCTGGCTGAACATAATATACACTATATATGTTGTACTGGGCTTCCTTGTTGAATAAATAGAACTCCATGCTATTAACTGTTCTGGGAACAATTACATAGAAAATGGCTCGCAATATGAAAGGCACTTTAGACTTTGTATTCACTAAAACAGGCTTTCACATGTTTGGACTTTGATTTGTAGAACAAATAAAAAGATAAACCATTTCACCTATAATCAATGTCGGACGATGAAAAATCTCAATTGCAATATATACTTCAAATTCCCTGATGATTATACCAGCTTGTATTGAAATGATATTCATTATATTCAAACTGGTTCGGCCTGAAAAGAGACTGCATAAATTTGAAATAATTTGATATGAAAAAAGGATCTTCACTCTAATTTCCATTTTTCATCTGATCAGAGGTAACCATGGTTTTTTGTCGTTAGCGTTATCGCTCCACCGATAGAGGCTCTGAGAGCGTTGTCTGCGAATGGTTGGTTGGCCAGCCGCTGGAACACGGGGAGAATTTGAAGCAGTGCTCTCTGAATGTATAATTTATCAGACCTGCATATGTTTTCTCGCTTGACAAAAGATGGGGAGTGCTGTTCCCAGAGGCTCCTTGGAGATAAATATTCAAGAGTCACTAAAGTACTCCGACATTCCTTGTGCTGAATAAAAAATATTAAAATTTTTATAAATTCAGGTCCCCGATTTTAGAAACTTTGTCCGTTTCAGATGGCTTAGAATATGTGAAAATTCAGCTGTCGAGATTACAATTGTAAATAAATTTACAACAATAGATAGGAGTGCAAAAAATACTTTAAAGACACTATTTATTACTGTAAAAACACCAGAAGTTTATACATGCTATATCAAATTGGGTAAATTTATATCTTGTTTTAAATATTTGCTATTCTTGTGACTAAAGGCTGTTCATGGCAGCTTTGATTCAGAGCATCAGCATAATCATGTGAGTCATGGTCGGGCTTGCACGAGATCTTTGGAGAATTTATCATCATCAGAAAAAAACATGCACATGTATCGATTGGTTGCATAAAACTCAGATACTTATCCCGGAATGATATTGTTTCTTGTTTTTTTGATGACGTGTCCTGTAGGTCAGATTTTGTGTATATGTATACACAAGACTTTATTGGCATTTTTCTGTCATTTACTAATGAATATGTAATGAGATTAAGATGCCATAATGTAATAAATGTATTTCTAATTATGTTTGAAGAAGCTTTAAATTTTGTATAAGCAAGTGTAATCCCTTAAAAAAAACAAAATAATTGTTCATGCAATATTTTCCAGAAACATGCAGACATAATATTTAAACCTTCCTATTAGACATTAAACTGTCTATTCATTGTCAGTATCTGTAAAAATTAAATAAACAGAAAAGTTCAAAATGCAGTACATTCATACTGTTTCCAATTTTAAAGCTGAAGAGTTCCAAATTCCTAACACTGCCGCGGCCTTCTATCTGCATTCGGGTCAATGTCCCCCCATCCCTGCACCATAACTTTCAGACTTGATTTCCAAAAGTCAGACTATTGCTATTTTTCTCGAAAGTCTAGAAAATTATGCAATTGATAAATTCTGATGACACGTACTAGCTAGCTAGGTCATATATGGTATGCGAGAATTTAATCTTTGTTTGGAGGGCTATTTTAGAAGGTATTCAAAACTATTGACATAAATTATGTTCAATACTGTAAATATTCAGATTAGAATACACACAGGGATCAGTTTCATTGTGTCCAGATGTCTATTTTCCGATACAAAAACATTCAATATGTGTGATATTACGAAATTAATATTCAATATTGTGTTTATTTCAGATATGGAAAGATTCAAAGTGTGAAATTCCATGACAAGAAGGAAGATGAGGAGGGCATATCGGCCACCGTAGCATTCGGGGACATCAAGTCGGCGTCAAAGGCGCACAACAGTGAAAATACAATCGACAGCAAGTCATTGGTGACGGCGTATAGCGAGGGTTCGGCGACAGGAAGTGCCGTCACGCGCACCAGACAGGAACCTGTCCCCCGCGCACCAGCTTTTACCCCCCACACACGCCCAACACCCTATACTAATAGACCTAAGGGGTAAGTTACCACTGGCACATGGTCTGAGTAACGATGGCCAATAGCGGGGGATAAAGTTCATTTCTGTTAAAGTTTGTTCATGTTGATGATATATTTTGTATGTTGTTTATACCAGGACAAAAATGTAGGTAGCTGTTGAAAAACTCTTAAAAAATGTGAATTTAAAGTAAATATTAATCATAATGTTGGTTGAAACTTCTTAGCTTCTCAAGATTTCACTAATACAGCATTTTCACTGTGAGAACAAACACACACTACAATGTACCTGGCAATAAGCCCATGCCTGGTAATAAGCCCACCCATATTTATTGCAGTTCAGTAGAAATTGCAATAAATGTAATATTATTTTCCCTGTAATAAGCACACTCCCAAATTTGAATAAGAAATGACCTGGTTGCCCCTTTGGCTTATTGCAGGATAAATGTGGTATGTTTCTGAATAAACACATTTACACATATGAGCAATTCAAATTTTTGCTGAGTAATAATATTTCCTGTTTCAATTTCCATCTCGATGAGGCCAGACATGATGTCAATTTCTAAAACCTGTGATGCAAGTTTATGATGTAGTGTTGTTTTACTTCATTGATGAAGATTGGCGAACATTGTGTCTTAGTTTGTCTTGATCCCCCTTCACCCTCCCTCATTCACGATGAGTTTTGTATACTGGGATATTAATTGTAGTGTTGTAAGAATGAAAATGTATTTAAATTTCATTTGTCAAATTGACCAATAGAATAACTGTGTTTAAGCAATAAGCTTATTACCTGGTTTAAGATCCCACACATTGTTGGTCATATTTTGCAGATAAAGGTTATGTCTAGTAGCAATCTTTCTGAGTACATGTAGAAATTTTGGTTTAGTGCATTACCTAATAACATTCTTTTTACCATTTAGGTATCATTTTAACCCGAAGTCAAATACTTGTGTTGCATTTATATTAAGAGATAGAGTTCCATTCAAATCCAATGAATAAATAAGGTTACATTTTAATTCAATTGGAATGGGTTTAGTTAAACTTGAATCGTTTTAATGGGGGGGAAGGCCTATTAAAACCAAATTTTAATTGATAGTTTTAATGGTCATATTTCATTTGCAATTTCAGGAATGTCATATTTCATTTGCAATTTCAGGAATTTGTTTACATTTAAAGATAATTTATTGGTTAGGTATAATTTTAACTCGATTTTAATGGGGTTTGATAAGTCCCTAAAGCCAATTGCAGATAAAATACGATCTAATATCTCAGCATACAATTCTACCTGAACCCATCCTGAAATATGTTTCGATGTTATTTGATGGTAAAAAGCCGTGTAATTTCTATATTATTATCATTATCTGATATCTTAATATATTTATTTGTTGTGTTTGTTAATTTCTTTGGTTAATGTGTAATGCGAGTACGTTTTACAAACTGACGACATTAGCGAATAAAATTTGACCTTTGACCTTGCACATGGATTTATTACCTTTTATGGATTATTACGATTTGGGCGACATGGATATTATACCAGCTTATATGAAAATGATGCCTACTCATTTTCTTGACAACCATTGGAATACAAAAGAGTAATGAACGTTTGGAGATTAATCTTCCGACAACATGGATTTCGAGCTTGACCTTGACTCGGATTTACCTCAAAGAGTCTCACAGATCTGGATGCTTGTAGCGGTGGATTTATTAGAGCAATTTTTGTAGTTTCTGTATTATAAGTTGTGTGTTTTTTGGTGAAGTAATTAGTAAGTTTTGTATGTAGTCTCGTACGAGTTATCGTGGATTAAAATGTCAAATGTATTAACGTATTTATGTTTATATCTGGTCAGCATGGATTATACGTCCCCACTTAGCAGTATCAGTCATTCAGTACGCTGCTTTTTGTTATGATTTTTACGTGTTTCGGCGATGATGGTTAACCATTTTTGCCGTGCGGATTGCTATCCCGGCCTGGTACTACGTAGTATGGATTTAGTTTTTGGATGTAGTCATTTTTTAACCGAGGATTTAATGGGGATGTACAAACATTTGTGTGATTAAGATGCACCACTGGATTACAAGGATGTACGTCAACAGTAATAAACGGTGCTGTGCCGTAATTACTCTAAGAGGGTAAGTATATTGGCAGTGCAAGTTTTACCTGGATTAAATGCCCAAAGTTTTGGAAGTATTAACATGTATGGTAAGATGGATTAATTTTGTTGTGGAGAAAATAAACATCTGTGATTACGCTACATGCTTGATGGAAGTGACATCCTCCTGGATTATAACCCCCTTTTGTAAGGTATTGTAAATATGTTTGTGTTGATACAACAGGGTGGAACCAATTTCGGATAAAAGTTCAACTTCGTATATTTAATATATATAAAAAATATATACTTTTGATTCTCATCAAAATTTGATTTTGCTACCTTTCAGAGTTTCCTGTAATTGTAAAAAGGGTACATTTGATCATATACCAGTTTATTGTACATAGAAAAAGGCTGAATATTAAAGTTCTATTTCACAATTATTCAAATCGAAATTAGTTCCACCCATATCATGTTTAATGTTTTGTTTTGTATACCCATCTCCCGTTTATCCAACCTGAAAATATTAATGTATTCCTTTAGCCCAGTATACATCTATGTCCATCTTCCTCTTGTGGTGAAATGATATTTTTTCCAGTAGAAAAGTGTGCATGCATGGATTATATGCAGAAAACCAGACCGATTTGGCTTCAGGACATGTGTACAAACACATACAGCTTCGAAAGCCTCGTCTTCATGCTTCTGAAAGTTTTATTAATTTGTATGCATGTGTTGTTTGTCGAAAATAAGAATTTTCCTTTGGGACAGACTTGTGTGATTTATGCGTCTTCATGATGACACCTATTTATTTACAGTTACTGGTGTGTATACAGGACTAAAGAAAAGTCACATATTATGTGTGATATTACACACTTTGTACATGTATGTGTACATAAGTTAGCTTGAAATTGCATGCACTCATTTGTTAATTGTTCTGTGAATATTTTAATTTGATCTAGTAAGTTTGTTTAATAAGAATGCTGGTTGTGCCCCTGAATTATAAATGGCACTGTTTGAATAGTCTGCTACTCCGATATTCGCAGACTTCTTCTGAAATCTTGATGAGTTGATCAGGTGCAATTTGAATCGGTCGGTCAGAGAAGCAACATATCGTCATAATTTGGAAGAAAAATATACATATTCTAGGATAATATATTGCTGTAAATTCTAGGTGATCAAATCGTGTTTATGTGACCAGCTGTTGGCGGGCATAGAATTTGATCATCGGCGTCAAGATTTATCGCAAAATGTTGGACATTGTGAACTAACTTCAAGGGTTCTCTGGGGGTTATCATGAACCTGCACACATACATACACTTGCACGCTTATACAACACACATGGGGACACGTCCTTAAATGACCTTAGCTGTTAATAGGACGTTAAAAAAACAAAAATGTTATTATGAACCTGTTCTGTTGTACATATTAGTTTATGGATGAATGAATAACTGTTTCTTTACTATAGAGGTTTGTTTATATTACTTTATTTTGAGTGGTTTGAACTGTCACCTGCTGTTTTGGAGTTTTATCCCAAAAACAAGTTTAACCGGTAATGCTGACAAGAGAAAGTTCATAAAAGCAACAGTCCTTGTCGATGGGTAGATGTTTTCTGAGGTTGATAAAACAAGTGGTCCACCTCAGTAGAAGGCTATAATTATAAAGTATGTAAGAAATTTGATGCTGAAAGTTCCTTGAAAAATGATAAAGTGCATAATTTATTGATTTTAACTTAACTGGAATTCTGAATAATACTGGTTGTTACAATGTTTGGATTTCATGCTTGTGTTATTATCTTGTTTTCAGTTTGAACAAGTAAGTACCAAGTGTTATTTTATTTATTCATCTGTACTTGCTTTCTAATAGACTTATTCAGACATTTTACCTGTTCTGATTTGCTAGTTATTGCAATTTGTGAATCTTACAACTGGAGAGGAATTCATAATCGTATCTGATTTACGATGATCGAGAAATAAGTTGTGTTGTACAGACCGCAAAGTGAAGCAAACTTCGTTATAAATGTTGAATTATTAAATAGAACTGTTTCATTGATGATTCCTGTGACAGTTTTTAACAAATTTTAGATTGACATTTTGTATACACTGTCTTGAATCCTAGTCCCACAAGTGCTTCAACTCAACAAGTTACTGAGGTAAACACACTATAGACCTTGATTCTGGGCTTCAGAATTTCAATTGGAGGCCCAAGTTTTTAATTCAAGCTTTATGAAACTGGATTTGCAGAGATAAAGATGATTGTTGTTTTTTTCATTTCCAATTTGCAACTTAGATGTGTAACAATCTAAATATCCTCCTCGATGCTAACATTATAGGTATCTTTCTCCATGAGGATAATGATGGTGCTCGGTCCTTGAAATTTAGGATGGCTACGATGTGGCAGGGACCAACATTATCTTGTCGACTCATTATTATTTCCATAGATTCCACTGCCAACCACAGAGGTTCTCATCAGAAAATCAATATAGACCACCACAGGTTTCCTGGTAATGGTGTAAGGGATTTTTTTCCACATTAGTGTGCCACCAGCTTAGGTATATTGACAGTGTTATAACCCTAGCACCAGGCAGACACTCTGAAACTTACAGGACAGCGTTACGGTAGGGTGTGCCTACAGCCATCATTAGACAGGCAACAGCTAATTCTAATGACAGACCTTGACTCCCCAGGGGGTTAAAAGCCTCGCATACCATTATTATCTGGAATTAGACGTTGAAATATAGATCGAAACACATAAATTATGCAAAGATACAATACAGGACACCCGATGGCTGGCTGTTTAGTTAAGCTCTAATGTTAATTTCATTATTCATTTATTTCTCATATTGTTGTTGAGATCGTATATTTCACCACTACCAATAATACTGGCGTTGTGCTTGCATCAATCTCTCGAAATCAATTAAAGAAAATGTCCTCGTGAATA